ATTGAAGTAGACAAGGTCTTTGAAAATTCTGAACCTACCTTCTTAGTATATCTCTGTAACACTTAAGCTAAGTTTCATAAAAGTCTCCAATTGTACGGCCTTCTTTTTGGAAGTTCAACTGCCGCTTACTTAGCTGCTAATAATGCTTTTACCTTCAAAATTATCAATATTTCAATAATTAAATTTGTATTTAAATTACTTACCTTTGCGTTAAAAATGTTATGGAGACTTTAAAACAAACTAGGTGGAACATTTAAAAAATAAGATAAACAATTAATTAATGTAAGATGAAGCATATTAAAATTTCTGTTTTCTTTTCATCAGTTATATTAAATTATTTAAATGTATTGGATAGTGGACACATATTTACAWACATTTTGTTACACTACTAGACAATTTAACGCGTCACAAGGACTACCTCATTGAGTCTTCACATCAGTGACTAGCTATTGGATGAAGACTTTATCATTCCAAACACTGATGAGTTCTTAGTTTTTTCACTACCTATGAACAACCATAATTACAATTTTAAAGTTAATAATTACAGTCTACATATACTTTRAATGTTTAAACTATTTTCTTATAATAACTMATTTTAGAAATACATTTTTGATTAAAGTGTATCTTCTACACTAAGTTGTAAATATGCACAGGGCAAGGCATTAATACATGTAGAGGCTTCAAAGTTTGTTATTCAAAATCATTGTTTTAATTTGAAATCACAGTCACTAAATTTGCTGGGAACCCAAATTCAGCCATTATTGTACAAGCTTTCTTGGTGTATGCTGTCATAAGATTTTTATAACCTACGAATACTGGTCATACATTTTGTCGAAATTCATATTGTTTTCCTATAATTTGTTCGATTACTGACACCTAGTCATTCGTTRATTTGCCTTTTTGAAATTCACATTGGTAAACGCATTCTTCTACTATAGGTTCCAATTATTTCAATACAATCCTTGCGAACGCTTTGTACGCTGCATTAAGTAGGGCGATCGCTCTGTAATTGTTACACTCTAAAAAGTCTCCTTTCTTATGTAGTGAAATAATTATAGCTTTGTTCCAATCTTCCGGAAGCCTTTCTTCATTCCATAAGGTCAAACAAAATTCATGAATATTTGCATAGAAAATTATATCTACTTAAAATGTTTGGATTTTAATAGATTTTTTTTTGTTATATTTGACTAAAGARCTAGTTATTTCTTTATTACACTTTTAAATATTTATAATGTACTTAGTCATAATTTTAATGTATACTCCGTACCAAATAAGAGCGCACCGTGCGGCCACAGGCAAAACCAGTTTTGTTACGTAAATTTGGTGCGCTCTTATTTGGAACAAGGTATAAATGCATCAATAATGTATTATACACATTTGAATTCCATATCATGTTAACAACTGTATTCATTAAACTAAAGCATTTTTTCTTATATTATTTTATAATTTATGATTTTTTTTTTTTTAGGAATTTGGAAACATTAACTCAAAGCAATACATTCGCGGATTTTGTGGAACCTGTAACAATTTTACGCGTAACTCGACAGGAACCATCTGCACCTGATTCAGTGTTATGTAAAATTTGCTTTAAAGAAAAATTGGAAGTGCTATTCATGCCTTGTGGTCATGTTATTGCTTGTATCCAATGCGCGGTAACACTTGATCTTTGTGCTGTGTGCAGACAGCCCTTTACTATGACTATGAGAGTTGGACTATATGTCACTAATCTAAAAGAATTCAGTTTAGAATACTTTCCATCAAATTGTTCAAATGAACTCATTGATCCAGTTCTTTGTAAAGTTTGTTGCAAAGAAGAAATGCAAGCTGTATTTTTACCATGTAGACACATATCCACTTGCTATAAATGTGCACCTAATGTGATTCAATGCCCGGTATGTTTTGAACCAATATATGCATATATGCAAGTGTTTTTATAACATTTAAATATATGWAATTATCTAAACCCGATTCAAATATAAAAAGTTTAATGCATAAACATGAATAATGATTTTTGTTTTCATCTTCAGTTTAATATTAGTTTGTTAATTATTTAATAACAATTTATAATTGTAATAACCAGGTTAGAATTAGGTAAATGGAACAATATTATCGACTGATTTTTTTTTTTAGGCTTAACTAAATTATAATTGTTTTTTTTTTTTTTTTACTTGCCTTATTTATTACTTTATACTGATATAACTCACAGTATAATATAATTTCAAAAT